CCCCCCCCTCCACACACACACTCTTCATATTTACTCATAAATTCTCTGTCTGATACTATCTCTCTCACTCACACCTGAAGAAGAGGCTCCGAAAGCTTGTGTTTTCAAATGAACCTATTCGACTATAACTTGGTGTCGTATGATTTCTGAATTTGAACAAAAGCAGAGCCAGTAAAGACAGGGGAATCAAGGCTGAGGATAGCACAGCGAGGACAGCATCTCATCTGCCTATTGCTAGTCTTCGCTAGCACTATAGTACATTTCTGAATATCCCTGTCTGTGGAATCTACACTTCAACAAGAGTAAAGAGGTTTCAAAGCTGAACAGGAGGAGTTTCTTGTTTGAAGACTGTGACATATTAACCATCACTTCTTGGTAATGCACCAGGCAGCATTTTAAATCCTTACCTTCAGTGAGTCTTTCCACAACTGACAATGATTCGGAGAGTCGAACACAACTTGAGCCATCCTGAAAACAAAAAGTAGCATTAGAAGCTGGGATTTTCACAACTCAGTTCAGCAAATAAACATCAGCAACACAAAGACAGCTTGACTATCCCCTGACATGGAACCATCAATATATTCTCTTGTAATGCAAGCAACTGTGTACATATAGGGGACTCCAACCCAACTCCAGATTACCCAGCAATACACCTATGACAGTTTGCTAGCCTGCACCACCTTCCCCCGCTCCCGCGCGCGCACATGCACACGCACACGCACACAAACACAAACACCAGCACCCATCTTGCACTCTAACCTGTGAGGTGCCTGTAGCTTTGCTCAGTTGCTCCTGCAGCTGATAAATATGTTTCTCCACCTCTTGTAGATCTCGAAGTAGCTGCTGCGTTGGGTTTCTTGCATACTTCTCCTTAAGTTGCTGTTTTAGAAAGCATAAATAATACCTCAATCCAATAACTGGTTCAACACTGCAGCTGGACAAAACAGTCTCGGCTTCCTTCACCAACCAGAGCAGACGTTGAATTAGCCAAGTCTCCACCAAATTTCTGGCACATGCCAACACTCAGCCATAATTATCCAGAGCCAGCACAACATTTTCAATCACAGAAAGATAACAGAGCAATTGATATTGGAACTTACAGGAGTGTTTGATGGGGATAGTGTACAGAAAGCTTTACTCTGTTTCTAACTCCGTCCTGTTCTTGTCTGGGCAGTGTTCGATGAGAACAGTATGAAGCAGATTTACTCTATATCTGTGCTGTCCCTTGTTTGCGAATGTTCAATGGGGACAGTGTCAAGCGAGGTTTATAGTGTATCTAACCTCGTGCTGTCACTATCCTCAGAGTATCTGATGAGGTAAAGTATAGAGGTAAGCTTTACTCTGTATCTAACTCATGTTGTCCCTGTTCTGGGAGTGTTTGATGCTCATTTTTGGATCTGTGACCTTAGGTATTGGAAATATACTGTGACCCAAGTAGCTGGCTTGGTTACTAATTGTCTCATCTCATTTGATGGCTGGATTTTAAACTTTGATGCTGAGGTAAAACAAACAAGATCCCACAATTTTATGTAGTTTTCTATTAAACACTAGTCGTGACTTACTTGCAGCTGCCGTTTCTCAGTGCCCAGCATGTTTCTCAGGATTTCAACCTTTTGATTGTGTACAAGGGTGTCTTCCTATAGCGGGTGAAGGGGAAGAAGTCGGACTGTTACTGCTCGGCATTTGCTCCACTGAATTGATTAAAACCAGCTAAGTTGTTAGAAAGAAGCATCGCTGATCTCACAGACAGAACTGTGGAGATACTATAATATACATACATCAAATGCTCACCGAGAGGAAGAAATAGATTTTCATTTTGGCCTCTGCTGAAGCAATAGTTGGCTCCAGTGTGATTTGAGCAAGATGGCACACAGTTTACGTACAGCTCTATCCTGTTGCAGGAGGAGCTTAAGGCTCTGCTGTGACAGAGGTTCTTGCTTACATAGTGTGCATGTAGCACAATTCCTCAAATATCACCACTGAAGAAAGTAGCATTGAATCATTTCCAGCATCTCTCCATCCAGCGGCAGCCAACAGTTTCTCACTCTGCCCAGCAATAATACACAGCCACTCCCTCTCCCACTGGGGGCATTACCCTGACCCAGTGACGGCCTGTGACCAAACCCCTTTGCCCATCAACAACCTATGATCCTCCCATCTTCCCCACAACCCCCCTCCCACAGTGAGTAATATGGGGAGGTGTGACTGCTCTCCAGTGCTATTCTTTGGGATGTCAAGAACAAAGCCTAACTTACACAAGACTTGATCAGTGGATGCTGATCAGACAGAGCCCATTTCACACCACACTATACTCTGGGTGAACCTGAGGCCACGGGGAGTCCCATGTGAATCTCATGTACTTTTGGTCAACATCGATCCAAAACAAAACTCTACATACTTACCGCCACAGGCATGGGGCTAGTGATCCTGTCTGGGCAGCTGCTACTTGAAAGATGTGGGGAGAAGGTTGGATTTGGGGATATTGCTCCTTGTTGGCCAGGAAAGAAGAAAGCCCCAGGATCTCCATCGGTTGCAGTGAGTGGGATCTGCGGAGAGCCGGGCGGACGGCCCAGTACTGTAAGGGCCACATATGACCCAGCTAGTAACAGAAGACAAACAGAATATACATCATAAAATCCACCAGCTACTACCATTTTTGACCGAAATAAATTATCTGGTTATGATGACACTTATGATGATCTTGCTGTGTTGTCTACTGGCTGTCCTTTTGCTTCCTTTATTACAAAAAGAATTGCACTGTAAAAACACAACACCTCACTGGCTCTAAAACACATTTCAAGATAATTTTCTCATGGTATAAAATACAAGCTTTTTCTTTGCCCAATAATTAGTCAACCCTGAAAAAAAACATACAATTTAGCGAGAGTAGGCATTTGGCCTCTCCAGCACGCTCTGCCATTCAATAAGATCATGATGGAACTCTCCTGTTTAGATCCATAACTCACGACTCCCTTGTTCGTTGAAAATCTACCTCTGATTTTAAAATACTATGACCCCTATGACGTTCTCATCTCCAAGAGGAAACATTACTTTAGCATCAACATTGTCAAGTGCCTCAGAATCTTGTACATTTTAATAAGATTACCTCATCCCTCTAAAGTTAAATTGATACAGGTCCAGCCTATCCAAAATTTCCTCATATGATAATCCCTTAATGCCAGGAATCAGTCCAGTGAACGTTCCCTGAACTGCTTTTCTCGCATTTATATCCCTTCTCAAGTGAGGAGTTCAAAAGTGTACACAGTCCTCCAGCTGTCATCTTACCAAAGCCTTATACAACTGCAGCAAAACATTCCTACTTTTATATTCCATTCCCTTTGCAATAACCAATCGGAAAGATATGGCTATCCTAATCATAATGTGTCTGTTTACCAGGTTACGGTGATTCAAGTATCAGGACTTCTAGATTCCCCTTCTCTTGCATCTCTCTTACCATTCTAATAATATGCTATGTTTCCACTTTTTCTGTCATCACATTATTCTATACTACACACCATTTGCCAAAGAGGAAACAAGGGAGAAAATTACACTCAAATTTATTCAACTGTAGAATCCAGGAGGGCCAGCACCAAGAGAGCGCCGCGCCGCCGGAGGGCCAGCACCGAGAGAACACCATGTCAGAAGGTCAGTGCCAAGTGATTGCTGCATTGGTACAGTTGCCATGTTTCAGGTGAGATATCAAACTCCGACCATGTATTTATTCAGTTGAAAATTAACACTTCCAAAATCCTCTTCAAAGTGGAAAATGCATTGAAACAATTAAACATGCCGCTATTTTCCTGAGATTATGTCTACCTTTGCAAATCATTGAATATATATCCAGTAATATCAGATGAACAATGTGTTAGATGAATAAGGGTTGTTGGGAGCAGGGGGGTGGTGCTGGATGGCTGACAAATATCTCGCTACGTGTTACTGTGTGCATTGTGTGTCACTAAATCACAAAGGTCAGGATACCCAATGGCTACCACATTTTGCGGAGACATCACGTAGGCCAATTTTCACTCACATTTGATTAACCGGACTACCTCCACATGGTTCGAGTGCGTCACCAGTGATCCATTAACCTGCAGAAATAATAACTTTATTAAACTTTGCCAAGTATTTGCCAATACAATAGTGCAGGCAATATTGGTCTCAAAACACTGGTTTGTATTTACAAAGGAAAGATAAAAACCATCAAAACAGTTCTTCTCTCAACAAGAGTCTACAACTAATTAACCAATTCACTCACTCAGAGAAACCAAGGATCACCCAGGGTTCCTGATTCCTGGCAAAATACAGTGGATGCTAGAAATACTACATAAAAACAGAAAATGCTGGTAACATTCAGAAGGACAACTTGAAAGTTAACACTGTTCTCTCTCCAGGCACATGGCCAGAGCTGCTGACTATATCCAGAATATTCTGTCTTAATTCTGGCTCCTTACTGGAAAATGCCTCAATGTGCTCAATTTGCAATAGCAGGGTCAAATGTGGCTGTGATGACTCCTAGGAATAGCCTATTGACACTCATTGTCCTGGCTCATGAACAGATCTAACCCAAAACTAAATTGAGGGAATAAAACAATTACAAACTACTGACATTTCAAAAAAAAAAAACAAGTGGGCACATAAGAGTGATCGAAAACAAGAGGAAGAGAGATTTGTACCAGCACATAGGGTAAGGGCTTGGAAAACTTCAACATTTTACTTGGGATTTTAGAAAGCCTTTGACAAAGTTTCACATGAAAAAGTTCTAATTAACTGAAAGTGAGTACTTGGTGCTCAAAGGAGTCAGATATTTACACAAGTATTTGAACTGATCGTGTTAAAATTCCATTCCAGATGAGATAATGTGGGCCAAAAATATGTGGCCAAAACACAAAATTGTACAACAGCAAGATACTGAGACCTATCTACTAGGAACTCAAACCACATAGCTAATATATTAAGATGGATGACATGCCTCACCTTAATGATTCTATCTCCCTGCTGCACACCTGCACGAACAGCTGCCCCATCTGTCAGAGAAATACATGGAGAATTAAAACGGAACCAGCACACATTGACCAGCAATCCTGCTTCACACTGAACACATTTCAGAAAGTTGGGTACAGTTTACTGAAGTTTCCAAATGCATCTGCACAGATTAGAGAAGGAACATTCAAATTAGGCAGAAAATTGCCTCCCAATAAAACAGCAGAAAGTTTTGTGAAGTGTGCAGTTGGTACAGAATTACCCTCTTTGACGGATTGGACAAATACAGGATTATCGCCACTGACTGTCAGGCCAAATCCATTCTCATCTCTCTGGATTATGACACAGCGTTGAACCAGACCTGGATAAAATGAAACAGCAGAAGTCAGTGAGTAACTTCCTTAAGCACTATCACTCAAAGCAAAGAAATCTGACCTGGGGGCTGGTGTCATGGTCCCAAAACTTCAAAACAATCAATCATAGCAGAGGAACGGACATCCCTCCCAAACTATCCCATCTAACCTCATGAGAGATGCACAGTTACCCTCAGCGCACACAATATGCCTCATTAAGAATGCATGAACTGGCAGCTGGCCCTGCTCTGCCATTCAATCAAATCACAGTTCATTATCTACCTCTATCCCATCCTCCTACAATATCTCTTTTATTCAAAATCCGACTACCCTCACTTGAATATGCTCAATGTGGTGAAGATCCACAGATCTAAAGAGTACAGAAATACAAAGATCCACAATCCTTTCAATGAAGAATTTTCTTTTCTTGAGTTCTCAATGTCCTTATTCTAAGACAATGACAGCCTGCTCAAGATTCCCCAATTGTAGAAACCCCGCTTTGCAACCGTCCTTTGGGAGACAGTTAGTTCAACAATTCAACCTCTACTCAACGTTTGTTGACTTGATCATGTTTCAGATAGTAACATCCCAGCCTGAGAAGTTGGCAGACCTTACAGTATTTAATATTTTTGGAATGGGCGAGAAACAGACTAAGTTTAGTTAGTAACAGTTGGCAAAGCAAATTTGCTCTCATCCTACACAATGAACTGGAATGAAGAAGAGATTCAGCCCCTTTCATGACTCCTACCTCAGCACCACCAAATTTGCTTTATTAAAGCAAGAAGAATGTAAAACGATGTGCTGTGATTCTGTAAATGCTCAATCTCCATACACATCTCACCACTATTCAGCAATAGATCAGTTGCTATCTGAACCCAGAGCCCCAAGAACAGAATCCATTCAATTTATGCATCAATGGCTGGTTCTCTGAAGAGATATCCATCATGTGGGTGCCCTGCAGACAGTAAACCACCAGAGATGAGGAAAGAGTATTAGCAGTACATATACACTGACTAAAGAATTATCAAATCCCTCAAGTATCAACTATCACCATGACTGGGGGCAGTTCACTGAGAAATAGCGATACAGACCAGAAACTTTGCACATTTCTGCAAAATGTAGGACGATTCATAGGGGAGGAGCAAGGGAGGGCACAGTAATGTTCAGCAACTCACTGCTCCCAAAATCCAGTGACAGCATAGCTATACCTGAATCCAAAGCTGACCATTCAAGTACCTTCTAGGTGCATCTTCCAATAAAACCATTAAGGTGTCTCATTCTTTGAGAACAGTGCCAATGATGTGCACTTGGGAGTTGCATATTTTGCCACAATCAAACTGCTCACTTTGGGTCCAATGGTGCAGTAGTAGTTATATTTCTGAGCCACGAGGTCAGGTTCAAGTCCCACCTGTTACAGAGATGTGTTATAATATGTCGAAACATTGTTTAAAAATACCTTTTCAAACTGCTCAGTAGTGGATGACTAGTCTCCAATTGTTGAAATATTGGTGCAGAAAATAGGCTCTTGCTTTCAGTTGTGTCTTACCTGTTGGGTCAAACTCGTATAGAGGAGATTTCTCAGAGTTCTTTTTGTCATGCTTCTTATCAGGCGAGAGATCCTTGTTCAGTATGCTTCCTTGCCTGTGACAAAACAGCTCCGTCATGACAATCAGATCACAACACAACTAGCACCTACTTGTGGACATTATTCAAATTGCACCCCCACTGCAGCTTCTCTCGCACTGTGCAAACTGCACAGCCTCTGTTTGTAACGTGAAATTATCTGTGCTGTAACACTAATCTTTGGCCTTATCTGCAATTCCATAACTGCCCCATAATTAGTTAATAACATGTCAATCTCATATTAAAAATTAAAGACAGAGCAATTAGAGTCCTCTGGAGGGCAAAATTCCAATGGTTCACAACCTTGAATGAAGACACTTGGCCTTCAGTACTAAACAGAGACAAACTAGGAGTAGGCCATTCAGCCCCTCAAACCTGTTCCACCATTCAAAAGATAATAGTCGATCTAATTGCCCCCTCAACTCTATTTCTGACTAATCCTAACAACCTCGTTGTTAGAACAGAACCTATTGACCGCAGTCTTAAAAATATTCAATGATCCTGCCTCCTGCACGGTGGGGAAGTTTCACAAGGTCTCAACCCTTAGGAGAAATGTCTAATCTCCATTTTTAATAGGAGGCTGATTATTTTTAAAACTTTGTCCCCTACCTCTAGTCTCAGCCATAAGGGAAAACTCCTTTTAGCATCCAGCCTTGAAGTCCCATTACAATCATATATATTTCAATAAAAACCCCACTGTCATTCTTTTAGACTCCAGAGAATACAGTTTCATTCTAAACAATCCCTCCACACAGGATAATGCCCTCATCCCAGGAATCAGTCCCATAAATCACTATTGCTCCCAACTAACACATGTATATCCTTCTTCAGATAAATGAGATCATTGCTGCAAACTGTATTCACAGCATCTCACCGAACTTTAATAAAATCTCAGCAAAGCTTTCTTAGTTTTGCACATCAACCCCGTTGAAATAAAGTTTAATTTATGATTTGTTGGTCCAATGCCTTACTGTATCTGTGATTGTTACATAGGGGTTTCTTAGTCTCTACATATACCAACATTTACTAGCCTCTCAACATTTAAAAATTATACGGCTTTGGTGCTGTGCCCACCAAAGTAGAAAGCTTCACATTTCCCCTCACTACACACAATTTGTCACATTCTTCTACACTCTACTTGCTTATATCCCAGTCTCTCACAGCGTCCTCTTCGCAGCTTGTTCTCCCACTTAACATGGCTTTATCAGTAAAGCTGTATACATTACATTCACTCCTCTAACCTAATTCATTAAAATATATTGTAAATAGCTGTGACTCTGCTAGCTCAAAGTCAACAAAAAGCTAATGGAACACAGTACAGCACAAACATAGAAAATAGGTGCAGGAGTAGGCCATTTGGCCCTTCATAGAATCATAAAAATGCTACAGTGTAGAAGGAGGCGATTCTGCCCATCGAGTCCACACCGACCCTCCAAGCAGCATCCCACCCAGACCCACCCCCTACACCAGCCCTATATTTCCCACCCTAGACACTATTGGCAACTTAGCACAGCCAGGCAGCACGGTGGCTCAGTGGTTAGCACTGCTGCCTCACAGCGCCAGGGACCCGGGTTCGATTCCACCCTCGGGCAACTGTCTGTGTGGAGTTTGCACATTCTCCCCATGTCTGTGTGGGTTTTCTCCAGGTACTCTGGACTGTGGGAGGAAACCATTTGGTGGACTGGCCATGTTAAATTACCCGTAGTGTTCAGGGATGTGCAGCTTAAGTGGGTTATAGGAGGATGGGTCTGGGTGGGATGCTCCAAGGGTTGGTGTGGACTTATTGGGCCGAAGGGCCTGTTTCCACACTGTAGGGATTCTATGATCTATGATCAATCCACCTAACCTGCACATCTTTGTGAACATGGCTGATTGTGCAATATCAGTACCCCGTTCCTGCCCTCTCCCCATACCCTTTGATCCCTTTAGCCACAAAGGGCTGTGTACAGCTCCCTCTTGAATATATTTAGTGAACTGGCCTCCACAGCTTCCTGTGGGAGAGAATTCCACAGGTTCACAACTCTCCAAGTGAAGAAATTCTTCCTCATCTCAGTCCTGAATGGCTTACCCCTTAGACTTAGACTGTGACCCCCAACACTGGGAACATTCTTCCCACATCTAGCCTGTGCAATCCCATCAGGATTTTATATGTTTATGAGATTCATCCCTCATTCTTCTAAATTCCAGTGAATACAAGCCCAATTGAGCCAGTCTTTCCTCATACGTCAGTCCTGCCACCCTGGGAATCAGTTTGATGAACCTTTGCCAGACTCCCTCGATAGCAAGAATGTCCTTCCTCAGTCTAGGAGACCAAAACTGCACACAGTACTCAAGGTCTGGTCTCACCAAGACCCTGTATAACTGCAGCAAGACATCCTTATTCCAACACTCAAATCCTCTTGTTATGAAGGTCAACATGCCATTAGCTTTCCTCACTGCCTGCTACACCCACATGCCAACCTTCAGCAACTGGTCCACCATGACACCCAGGTCTCATTGCACCTCACCTTTTCCTTTTCTTCTCTTTATTCTTAATGGGATGAGGGCATTGCTGACCAGGCAGCATTTATTGCGCATTCCTAATTGCCCAGAGGGCAGTTCAGAGTCAACTACATTGCTGTGGGTCTGCAGTCACACGTAGGCCAGACCAGGTGAGGATGGCAATTTCCTTCCCTAAAGGACATTAGTGAACCAGATGGGTTTTTCCAACAATTAACAATGGATTCATGGTCATCATTAGATTCTTAATTCCAGATATTTTATTGAATTCAAATTCCACCATCTGCCGTGGTGGGATTCGAACCTGGGTCCCCAGAACATTACTGGGTCTCTGGATTAACAGGCCAGTGATAATACCACTAGGCCATCGCCTCCCCTTAACTGCCACCATTCAGATAATAGTCTGCCTTCCTGTTTTTGTGACCAAAGTGAATAACCTCACATTTATCCACATTATACTGCATTGCCAGGTACTTGTCCACTCAGCCAGTCTGTCCCAGTCACCCTGCAGCTTCTTAGCATCCTCCTTACAGAACACACTGCCACCCAACTTAGTGTCATCTGCAAATTTGGAGATATTGCATTCAATTCCTTCATCCAAATTGGTAATGTCTATTGTGAACAGCTGGGGTCCCAACACTGAACCCTGCAGCACTCCATTTGTCGCTGCCTACCACTCTGAAAAGGACCCATTTATTCCAAATCTCTGCTTCCTGTCTGCCAACCAGCTCTCTATCCAAGTCAATACATTACCTCTGATACCATGTGCTTTAACTTTCCTTACTAATCTCGTGTGGAACCTTGTCAAAAGCCTTTTTAAAGTCCAGATACACAACTTCTACTGGTTCACCATTATCTATTCTACTGGTCAAATCCTCAAAAAATTCCAGAAGATTTGCCAAGCATAATTTCCCTTTAGTGAATCCATGCTGACTAGGACCAATTCTATCACTGCTTTCCAAATGCTCAGTTATTACATCTTTAATGATTGACTCCAGCATTTTCCCCAACACCGATATCAGGCTAACTGGCCTATAATTCCCCATTTTCTCTCTCTCTCTCCTGTTTCAAACAGTGGAGTTACATTAGCTACCCTCCAGTCCACTGGAACTCTTCCAGAGTCTACAGAATGCTGGAAAATGATCACCAACACATCCAATATTTCTAGGGCCACTTCCTTAAGTACTCTGGGATGCAGAGTATCAGACCCTGGGGACTTAACAGGTTTTAATCCCATCAATTTCGTCCATACCATTTCCTGACAAATGAGGATTTCCTTCAGTTCCTTCCTCATGTTTGACCCTCTGTCCCCTACCATCTCTTGAAGATTATTTGTGTCCTCCTTTGTGAAGACAGATTCAAAATATTTGTTCAATTGGTCCGCCACCTCTTTGCTGCCCATTAAGAATTTATCATAAGACACAGGAGCAGAAATTAGGCCGTTCGGCCCATCAAAACTGCTCCACCATTCAGTCATGGCTGATAAGTTTCTCAACCCCATTCTCCGGCCTTCTCCCTGTAACCTTTGATTCCCTTTGACAATCAAGAACCTATCGATCTCTGTCTTAAGTATACTCGATGACCTGGTCTCCACAGCTTTCTCTGGCAATGAATTCGACAGATTCACCACACTCTGGCTGAAGAATTTTCTGCTCATCTCTGTTCTAAAGGGTCTTCCCTTTACTCTAAAGCTGTGCCCTTGGGTCCTAGTCTCTCCTGCTATTGGAAACATATTATCAACGTCAGGCCATTCAGTACTCTGTATGTTTCAATTAGATCCCCTCATATCCTTCTAAACTCCATCGAGTATTGACCTAGAGTCCTCAAACATTCTTCATATGTTAAGCCTTATTCCTGGGATCCTTCTTGTAAACCTGCTCTGGACCCCCTCCAGGGCCAGTACATCCTTCCTAAGGTATGGAGTCCAAAATTGCTCACAATACTCTAAATGTTGTCTGACCAGAGCTTTATAAAACCTCAGAAGCACATCCTTGCTTTTATATTCTAGTCCTCTCAAAATAAATGCCATCATCGTATTTGCTTTCCTAACTACCAACTCAACCTGCAGATTTACCCTAAGAGAATCCTGGACTAGGACTCCCAAGTCCCTTTGCACTTCAGATTTCTGAATTTTCTCGCCATTTAGAAAACAGTCTATGCCTTTATTCTTCCTACCGAAGTGCATGACCTCATACTTTCCCAAGTTATATTCCATTCATCTGGACCTTTGGCCCATCATATCTGTGCTGATCATGATGCCATTCTAAACTGATCACATCTGCCTGCAAATCATCCATATCCCTCTATACCCTGCCTGGTCATGTGTCCATCTAAATGTTGCTACCATAGTTCCTTCTACCACCTCCCCGGCAATGTGTTCCAACACCTTCTGTGTAAAAGATTTCACCTCGCACATCTCCTTTAAACTTTCCCCTTCTCACCTTAAACCTATGCCCTCAGTATTTGACATTGCCACCCTGGGGAAAAAGACTTTGACTATCCACCCTATTGACACCCCTCACAAATTTTTATACACTTCCATCAGGTCACTCCTTAGTCTCTGAAACTCTAGCAAAAACAATCTTAAGTTTGTCCAACCTCTCCCAATTGCTAATGCACTCCATTCCAGGCAACATCCTAGCAAACCTTTTTTGTACCCTTTCCAAAGCCTCCAAATCCTTCCTGTAGGGCAGTGACCAGAACTGTGAACAAAACTCCAAATGTGGCCTAACTAAAGTCTTATTCAGCTGCAACATGACTTGCCAAATTTTATACTCAAATGCCCCAACCAATGAAGGCAAGCATGCCATTCACCTGCTTTACCACCTTATCCACTTGTGTTGCTACTTTCAGGCAGCTATGGATTCGCACCCAAAGATCCCTCTGTATATCAATGCACCTAAAGGTCCTGCTATTTACCATATACTTGCCACTTGTATTTGACCTTCCAAAACGCATCACATCACACTTGTCCAGATTAAGCTCCATCTACCATTTCTCCACCCAACTTTCTAACTGATCATATAGCTATCATTTATCCTGCTTTAACCTGTGATAGCTTTCCTCACTATCAACAACGCCACCAATTTTTATGTTGTGTGCTAACTTACTAATCAGACCAACTACATTTTCATCCAAAGAGGTCCAGCACTGATCCTTGCAGAACACCACTGATCACAAATCTCTAGTCAGAAAAACACTCCTCCACAACTACCCTCTGTCTTCTATGAACAAGCCAATTTTGTATCTAACTTACCAACTGACCATGGCTTCCATGTGACTTAATCTTTTGGACCAGCCCACCATGAAGGGATAGTGGGAAGATGTTAGCCTTACAGGGGATCACAATTAAAAGGGGGAATTATACTCTCATCAGACTCCAATCTAGAGTAATGGGCTTTAGTTCTGGGCACTGCACCTCGGGAAGGAGACATTGGCCTTGGACAGCATGCAGCACAAACTCACTGGAATAGCATCATTGCTTAAAGGGACAAATTATGAGAACAGATCACAGGAACTAGGTTTCTTTCCTGAAGTGTTGAACATTATGGGTTACTGAATCAAAGTTTTTGACATAAATATTCAATAGGAAAGATGGAGAAAAACAGTTTCCTCTGATGGGGATAATCCAAGACAAAGGACTTAACTGTGGAATTACAGCGAGGCAGTTAAGGGAGATATTCCTTCATTCAAAGGGAAGTGGAAATCTGGAGTTCCCAAACTACAAAAGCCAGGGGATCTAAGGGAACAACTGGCACTATGATGACTGAGACGAATAGATTTTTGTTGGGTCAAATAATCTGAAAGAATATTGGAGCAGAAGGTGAATGGCCCCTGCACCTGAGCTCTTCTGCATTGCTTGAAAGCTTTAGAATTTTGGTCAATCTCACTTTGATGTGGAGGCAGGAGAGGAAGATTCATTAGATTGCACAAGGCATTCCTCCCAGGAAGCAACCATGAGAAGCTGATTAAATTGGATCAATATTTTCTTGAGTTTAGGAAAATGAGAAAATTTCATTGAAACATTCAAGGTTCTCAATGAGTTTAACAGGGTTAACACTTAGAAGTCACTTCTCCTGACTGGTGAATGTAGAACACAGGGGACAAAGATTGAGATAGGGAGAAACTTCTTCAAAAAAAGGTTGCGAATCTTTGGAATTCTCGAGGCCAGAAAATTGTAAGTGTTCCTGGTTGAAAATACTTATGGCTGAGATAGAATGGTTTTGGTCTTCAAGGGAATTAAGGGGTGCAGAAATGGGTGAGAAAACTGGATATGCAGACACAGATCAGCCACGATTGTATCGAATGGCAGTGCCAGCTCAACAAGATGCATAGTGTATGCCTGATCCTATTTCTTACAGTTTGCATTCATCCTTTTGCTACAGTATTCTGATTCCCAATAACTGCAAAAATATTAAGACTGGCACAGCGTCACACTCCAAGCAGCTTCATTTCTTGGATACAGATATCATCACTAATGTCGTAAATTACAACATAAATTGGTAAAAATACTTCAACCTCATTTGAACTACTCAAAATGAACACCACGTCACTTAAATATTTCTTTAACTTCTCTAAAAGCCCCAGCATCTCTGCAGTCTTCTCAAACAGTCTTCTCATATCTGGGGTTATGTCAATGAATCTTTCACTTTCTCCGAAAACACAAAAAAAAGACATTGCTAATGTGGCCGAATGATTTGCACAGGATGCAAGGTGGTCTGGGAAGGTACAGGGACCAGCAATGTGGACAAAAATCTAATTAGATCGACACTTTTAATTTCTCAACTGGCTCTTGGATATTCCAAGACATCTAATCACGTTCATCCATCGTATTGAGAGCTCTTACCTGGGAAGTCTTCTGATGGGAAACCTGGAATGAAAGAAAGCAGCTCAGGTTAGACAAGCCAGCACTGACCATGCAGCAATTTACCCAACCCCATTTAGTGATGATCATGCAATAAGACAGCACAAAGGGCTCCCCCTTGGTTACCTAACCCATGCTTGCCCTTTCAAAGAATTAGCAATTCATCCCATATCCCAGCAACTTTTTCTTTTTCAAGTATTTATCAAAGTTCTTCTGAAGGGAGATTAATCAATCTGCTTTCAGCAGTCAGTGAAGCAGTACTTTACAGATTTCAACAATCGACTCCATTTTAAAATAAAAACTTCATCTCCCACTCAGATTTGTTTGCTGATTACCTTAAATCTGTGTCCCTGAGGTTACCAACACTCTTGTCACTGGAACATTTTATTTTTGCATATTTGTTCAGGGGATGGGGCATCACTGGTTGGGCAAGCACTTATTGCCCAAAACCAGTTGCCCCGGAGAAGCTGGGAGTTTGAGAACTGCCAGGTCATAATTCTGAAGTCAATATGATGTCAGGACACCCACAATGCTGTTAGGAAATAAGCTTCAGGATTTTGACCCAGTGATAGTAAAGGAATGGCAGATATTGCTCCAAGCAAACAATTAAACTGGAGAAAACAGCTCCACAAATATCCACAACCTAAATAACTATGTGCAGTTTTGGTCATTTTATCTGAGAAAGGATGTTCTGGCTATGGAAGGAAGCAATGAAGGTTTACCAGACTAATTCCTGGGATGGCAGGATCGACATACTAAGTGAAACTGGACTAGATAATATTCACTGAAGTTTAAAAGAATGGGGAGGGAGTACTCACAAAAACCTATGAAAATCTAACAAGATTGGACAGGATGAATGCAGGATGGATATTCCCAATGACCAGGGAGTCCAGAATCAGGGGTCACAACTTAAGGATATGGGATAGGCCATTTAGGACTGAGATGATTTTCACCCAGAGAGCAGTGAGCCTGTGTAATTCTCTTAGATACGATTCTTAGGGCTAAAGGGGCCAAACGGTTTGGGAAGAAAGTAGAAACAGGGTACTGAGTTGGATGATCAGCCCTGATCATAATGAATGGTGCAGCAGACTCAAAGGGCTGAATGGTCTCCTCCTGCTCTTTTTTTTTGTTCCTAAAGTAGGGAGTCCGCACATCAGGACAAGAGAGAAGGCCAAAGCATCTACAACAAACACCAACCAGAATGTCAAGTGAATGATCCATCTCAGCTTCCTCCACAGGCCAGCCTTCAGTCAATTCACTTCACGCCATGTGATATCAAGAAATGGTTGGGGGCACAGGATACTGTAAAGGCTAGGCACCCTGAAGACATTCTGGCAACAGTATTGAAGACTTGCAAAATTTGCTGCACCCCTAGCCAAGCTGTTCCAGTACAGCTACAACGATGGCATTGACCCCACAATATGGACAATTGCCCAGGTATGTCCTGTACACAAAAAGCAGGACAATCCAACCTGGCCAACTACCGCCCCATCAGTCTACTCTTGATCATCATTAAAGTGATGGAAGGCGTCATCAAGCAGCACCTGCTCACTAACACCCTGTTTGGGTTCCATCAGGGCCACTCAGCTCCTGACCTCATTACAGCCTTGGTTCAAACATGGATAAAAGAGCTAAATTCCAGAGGTGAGGTGACAGTGACTGCCCTGGAGATTAAGGCTGCATTTGATCAAGTAGCTGACCCTCACTGTAAATACTATTACACAGTTGCTGGGTCCAGCAGCATGTTGAAGCATACCTTGCAAACGAGCTGGAGCTGAAGGCTTTTGTACAAAAGCAGCTTTGATTGGTAACAAACCACTGATTTATCTGCAGACTAGTGATCAGTTACCAAGACTAAGGCCTCATGCCTGACAACAACTATGTGATTGGTTCTCAGGGTAGCTGAACAGATTGGGGCTGTGAAGAAGATACAGACAAATAATCAATGACGTCCACCACTCTCTGTTCTGTACAGTACAAGCTACTTTAAGACTGAAGAAAACCTATTTATTTTCCCTCCAGCAGCTGAAGTAAGCACTGCTTTTTAATTAATGAGTCAGAGATTGTTTAAAAGTGTGAACCAGCCCTCTGTACCTCCTGAAAACCGGTGAAAACATCCAGAGAAGAAGTACCAAGAATCTGTTCTAAACAGCATATGAATCATTACAGCAGACCCTGTGGAGAGACCCCACGGAATTGCTTTCCCAGTTTTCCCTCTGCCCATAACACCCATGTTTATTTTTCCACTGTCCATGTGTGCGTGTGTATTGGCAACTCTACAAGAGGGTTAGAGTTTTAATTAGTAGACTCATACATCAACGGTTCATAATTGTTTATCTGTAGCTAGAATCTATATTTGTAATAAATCGTCATTCTTGTTAGGAACAGAAATCTGGTACATGCGTTGTCACCTGGGTCTAAAAGACAGGGAAATCAGAAATATCGCGTACTTTCTAAAATCTTCAACTTCGTGATGACTCGGGGAATAGCAGGGCTAGATTTCCAGTACATTACCCCAGTGAGGTGTAGCAAGCTCAAGAAAACCATGCAACTGGGTCCTTATTTCTTACAGTAAAAAATAGTTGACTATGTTTTTAATTAAAAACATGTAGCCTCATATTAAAAAGAACTTAAACTGTTGCTCTGACCAACTGAAGATATGGAAAGCTGATTCATCCCCTTCTCCCCTTGTGTAACAGTTTTCTAGCATCTTACTCCGGTGAGGTGTAACAGTGCAGATACTTTAGCCTTGTCTTTTACACTGATGCGCTGGCCTACACACTGTACCCTCAGCACTGAGGATGGAGATAACTGTGGAACCTCCTCCACCTGTTTGTTGTTTACGTACCCACCAACTTTCACAACTGAATGTGGCAGGACTACATAGCCCTGTATATCACTTCATAAAAACCGAAAGAACTTCAGATGCTGTAAATCAGGAACAAAAAAAAAAAGTTGCTGGAAAAGCTCAGCAGGTCTGGCAGCGCCTGCGAAGGAAAAAACAGTTAACGTTTCGGGTCTGGTGACCCTTCCTCAGAACATATCACTTGCTGCTTATGCTGGTTGGTACACTAGTAGTCCTGTGTGGTAGCTTCACCAGGTTGACACATCATTCTGCACTTTCCATTGAATCAGAGTTGAATGCCTAGTTTGATGGTATTTGTAAGTGTGGGAATATGCCAGGCCATGAACTCTCAGATTGCGCTGAGTGCGATTCTGCTGTTGCTAATCGTCCTCAGTGCCTCATGGATGCCCAATCAACTTAATAGACCTCTTTGAAGATTGTCCCACTTAGCATAGTGGCAGTGCCATATAATGTGTTGCAGGGTACCTTCAGTGTGAGGATGGGGCTCAACTAGTGTGCTACGGTCACTCCTACCAATACTGTCATGGATGGACACATCTGCAATTGACAGATAGGTGAGTACAAGATCAAATGGTTTTTCCCTCTTGCTGGTTCCCTTACCATTTGCCCAGTAGATAGATCCTCTACTCAGTTGACCAACTCACTCAGTAGTGGTGCTACTGACATGCTTTTGGTAATGATGTTGAGTCTCCCACCCACAGTAGTTCTGTACCATGCCATCTTCAGCGAGCAAAATGGTGAGTATTGATTCATCAGCCGTGAAGGGATAGTGAGTGGTAATCTGCAGTAAGCTTCCTTGTCCTTGTCGGAGTTGACATCATGAGACTTCATCGCACCCAGAATCAATGCTGAGGACTCCTGGGGAAATTCCCTCCCAACTGTGTACTAATGTATCACCATTCTAGTGGGCCTACCTTCCCAGTGGGATGTTTAATGAGACAGTGTGTAAGGTATGATTCCGTGAGCATGACAATGTCAGGCTGCTGCTTGACTAGTGTGAGAGATAGCTCTCCCAATTGTGACACAATCCCGAGATGTCAGTAAGGAGGATGCTGCAGCGTTGACTGGACTGTTTTAACTGTTGTCATTTCTGGTAACTAGCTTGATTTCATTCCTTTCTTTAAATTTTGCAATGTTTCAATACAATGAAGTGACTTGCTGGGACACATTAGAGGGTTAAGAGTCAGCCACATCTTTGTGGGTGTGCAGTCACATGTAGGTTACATCAGCTAAGAACAGTAGATCTCCTTCTCGAAATTATGAGTGAACCAGACGAGTTTTTACAACAACCAAAGGTGCTACATGGTCACCGTTAGACTAGTCTATCATTCCAGATTTTTATTAAATCCAGCTTCACCATTTGCCCTGGGATTCGAACCTAAGCCCCACAGACATTAGGCTTGGGCTCTGGATTACTAGTTCAGTGTCATTACCACTATGCTATTATCTCCCCCAAAACATTTTACCAAACTGTTCATGATTTTGGACATCTTGGTTAAAATCTCCCTGTAACTTCCTCTGCTCTAAGAACAATTTCAGCTTCTCTAGCCTGTCCACATTCACTAAAGTCCCTCAATCTTGATCCCACTCAAGCAAATCACAAAGCATGTCTACTGAAATTATTCCAGCTGCTAAAAATTCAGTCAGGTGCGTAAATGTTTTTATTTCTATCAATATCCATAATGATCCCATGCGTTTTTTTTTAATGGTCTCAATCTTGCCACTTTCAAAGATTTTTGTATCTATGTTCTAAGGATCTCTGATTCTGGGCTGCCTTCAAAATTGTTTTTAATGAGTGAAGCTGTACTGCAGACAAAGTTATTGTATGGGGGACTGTAAACCAGTAAGTCAATGTTTATGTGAGATCCTGTACCCCAGTGAGAGCGATCCAGCGCGAGACAGCGAGCGATCCAGCGCGAGACAGCGAG